GTCGGGAATATCCCGAGCTGAAGGCACTTCGGGTTGAGCTCGGGAGCCTCCTAAGTTAGAATAAATTTACTCCTGCCCAAACCTAAGTAGGCCACCTCGGGTAGAAGCACCTCGATACGACACCTGTAGCTTGACACAGGGTAGCTCGGTACAAGGCAACTTGTGGAAGAGCAGCTTGGCGTATCACAGGAAGATCTCCTGTCTAACAATCGTACCTGCCAAACCTGGAGACCTGCACCCACGTCTCTCGCCAGGCGGCGTCGTGCCTGCCAGTCCTGAGAGGTGTCCCTTGTCTGGCAAGGCCGTACTCTACAACGATTACCTGTGCCCACTAGCTCACCCCTGGCAAGTGACGGCTGCAACAAAGAGTCAGAGGCGGTTATGCCAGATCTGTCAGGACACCGCTATATAAGAGCTCCGACCCCCAAAAAGCAAGGGTATTGCAACTTGCGTGATCTGCACTCTAGCCCTTTTTTCTCTGCAACTCTCTCTTTCAGCTCTCAGCTTTCTCTCCCAATTACTAACTTAAGCATCGGAGTGTTCCCGCCGGGTGAGCTCCCCGGGGTCCCTTCATCTTCTTCTTCACAAGTGCTTCGTCTGCCGCTAGCTAGGAGCGCAACCACTTCCAGCTAGGAGTGACCATGTTGCGCTTCATCAATTATAGCCTAATTATATTTTGATCAGTGATTAATTGATTATAGACACTTGTATCATAACTAGAATTTTAGTGTTTCTTAGACTTAAAAGGTAATTTTGAAAAGATTTTAACACACAATCAACCATTATTGGACCATTAATGCATTAAATAAAATCGCAAATAATCAATGTTTTCAAAACCGGACCAAATCGGATGGTTGGACCAAAAAATATGGGAATTCCATTTTACTCTATAACTGTCTTTTGGACAAAAACCATTGATTTGGTCAGCAAATCATTGACCCGGGCGGTCGAACCATTCAAAGCGTCCAACGATTTTTGGCTATTTTTTATTTTTTTAATTTTTTTTGTCAGAATGGGCCATTCATTTAGTTTGAACGACCAGACCTTTGAACCAAGAACCGGASCTTTAAACGGTTCGTTGTCCGGTTTGATTTTAAAAACCTTGCAAATAATTATATAAAATTTTAATTATTTATTTCTTTCTATATTTCCATAAATTTTAAGTTTTTGGTCAGAGGCTAACGCTTCGTTCGAGGCTTCGCCTCCGCCTTTAGCCTCTTAAAACGTTGAACAACATTTCTCTCTTCTTTTTCGTTTGCTCGTTCCTTGCTCTCTTCATCACTCAAACCACTTCCCTTCCTACATAGGGCCAGCCAGTGAGATTCATCTCTCTCTATCTCTCTCTATGTGTTTTCTGAAGTTGTTTCAAATTGCAATTGATGTCTCTCTCTCTCTCTCTCACCTCTGTTTTGGGTTTTCTGGGATAAGTTTTGTTTATGAATGGCATGTTTTGCTTATGGGTTATTTAATTCGTTGATTTTGCTTGAACTCTAACTGCATTTTTTACTTCTATTGGTTCTAGGGCCGAAGAATTTGATGGGTTGGTGAGAAACCTAGGGATTTTCATTGGAAACAGAGGTTACTAGCGTCTTTGTAAGTATAGATTTGATTTATTTTCTCGGACGAGAAATTAATTTCATTGTAGCTTTGGAACCCGGAAAGTTGAGTAAAATATTGAGAATTAAGGTCTCCAGAATTGATAAAGAGAGGGGGAGATTTGAAGGACAGGAAGGAAGTACCGTGGTTTCTGTTTCTAGGGTTTATTGGGTCTTTGTCTTTATCACTTAGAACCATGTCTGTCACTGCTGGTGTTAGCGATACTGTGATTGCTATTAGGGATAAACTTAGAGGTAAGATTGGGCAAACCAAGGTGAAAAGGTATTGGCCTGGAAAAGCACCAGAATGGGCAGATGATGCGGACGAAGATGCCGATATCAGGACGGCTAGGGCAGTTGCCTTGGAGAAAGCTTTCCCTAGCCAGGATGATGATTCCGGAATTGTCAAAAAAGATGACCCCAGGCTGCGTCGTTTGGCTGAGAGTAGGATTGATAATCGTGAAGAAATTAGAGCTGATCATCGTCGCATTCGGCAAGCTGAGATTGTTTCCACTATTGAAGAGGAAAGCAAGAGGCAAGAAGGTGCAGATGTAGAGGATGAGGACGAAGATGCTTTAGAGGAAAGGAGAAGAAGAATCAGGGAGAAATTGCTTCAGAGGCAGCAAGAGGAAGCTGCACTACTTCCGGAGGAAGAGGAGGAGGAAGCAGAGGAAGAAGAGGAGGAGGAGTCTGAGTATGAGACTGATTCAGAGGAGGAACTAATGGGTATGGCTATGGTGAAGCCTGTCTTTGTTCCTAAGTCGGAACGGGACACCATAGCTGAGCRTGAGCGACTTGAAGCAGAAGAAAGAGCTATTGAAGAGTTGATGAAAAGGAAGTTGGAAGAAAGAAAGGTTGAGACCAAACAGATTGTGGTTGAAGAGATTAGGAAAGATGAAGAAATACAAAAGAACTTGGAAGTGGAGGCAAACATTGCGGACGTGGATACTGATGATGAGGTTAATGAGGCAGAAGAGTATGAAGCTTGGAAGGCAAGAGAAATTGCAAGAATTAAGAGGGACAGGGAAGACCGGGAGGCAATGTTGAAGGAGAAGGAGGAGATAGAGAAGGTTAGAAACATGACAGAGGAAGAACGGAGAGAATGGGAGAGGAAAAATCCTAAACCACTCCCTGCACCCAAGCAGAAATGGAGATTTATGCAGAAATATTACCACAAAGGTGCTTTCTTCCAGTCTGATCCAGATGATTATGCAGCTACGGCTGGTGCGGACAATATCTACTCTCGTGATTTCTCTGCTCCTACTGGGGAGGATAAGATGGACAAGACAATACTTCCTAAAGTCATGCAGGTTAAGCACTTTGGGCGTAGTGGGAGGACTAAATGGACCCATCTTGTCAATGAGGATACAACTGATTGGAATAATCCGTATGTCTACTTTGACCTCTGCTTCTCAGTTCAAATTTCCTTTTGTTAATAATTATCTCATTTTAGTGATCTTATTATTTTCAGAAATTTTGTAGATGAAATAGATATGTACCACTATGGTTCTTTTCTGCCTGATAATCTGTAACTATTCTTTTATTAGATGCACTTACAATGTAAATTTTGCATGTATGAAAATTTGGAGAAAATGTTTGTGTATGGTCAAAATTACTTTTTTTTTTCCAAAAAGGTAAAGTAATGTCATTGTATATATATCCAAAAGGCAAAAAAAAAAAAAAACCCTGTAAAACTGGTTGCTATACACAGGGAATATACATCTCACTAATCTCAGATCACTATACACTATGAAATCAGACCATGAGTATTTATAAAAAGGAATTAATGGATTTGTTTGTAACCTCCTCCACTGTGCTTGCCTTGTTTTGAACGTTCTAGAATTTCTTTTCTTCCAAATTCACCACAAAACAGATGCCAGATTGCCAGAAGCACACCCCATGCTACCTTCYGTTGTTTGCTCAAAATTCTCAATTTCCAACTCTTCAACATATTAATAGTTGAATTATGAAAACAGCCCCTTACTACAAATAAACCTAGCATCCTTGTCCATACACTTTTGGAGAAACTACAATGAAGGAGCAAATAGTTAACAGTACCTAAGGCTTCTCCACACAGGCACAGCTTGGATCCACCAGCTGCATTCCTCTCCTGATCAGATTGTCTCTAGTGAATATCTTGTTTATTGTAGCAGACCATACAAAAAATGCTATTTAGAGGGGATAGCTGTACACCAGATCTTACTGCTAGGAAAACCACTCTTGGACTCTCCACCTGTCCAGACAACCTTTTGTAGAATGATCTAATGGAAACTTGACCAGGTTTCTCCCAAGCCATATTCTCTTATCCTCTGTTTAAGTGCATTTGAGTATTGTGAAATTTCTGCAACTGATGTATTGTATGGACCATATGATTTGTACAATTCTGTGCTGTGTCACATCCAAGAGGTAACCTCAACATTGTCAAAATAGCAGGATGTGTGTGCTATGCAGTATTTACCTGCATCATATACATGGATCTTCATTTTGTAACTGCCTTACTTTGCAGTTTGGCATGCTTATCCAATTATTTTGGCATGGGATAAACTTGGAAACCAAAACATGTAGAGATCATATGACACTGAGATTTCTTGGGTTTACATATGAATTTGTACATGTATTTTGTAAGTACCAAGTAATTCCTTCACTGGCTAGCCTATCAGGATTGCTGAGACAAAACCTCACTGATATAATGGTTCTGTTCATGTAAACATTTTTGGGCACTTGAGATTGATTGATTTGATCACTGTAACTTTCTGTTGTTAAATTACTTATTTCTTTAGGATGGTTCCATTGTACAACTTATTTATATCTATACTTGTATGCTTTTTCTATTTCTTGTTGAAGCTTAACAGGACTTGTGGCCAAGTTCCATGTTATAATGTTAGCATTGTATCTCTCAAGTCTTATCCATACATTTTGCAATGTCACAACATCTTATATCTACAAAAAAAAAGCATGCCATAGCTCTTTTTTGGGGGAAAGGGTAAAATCTAATTGTACTAATCAGTATCAAAAAACTTGGGAAAACTATTGGGGTAATTTGGTCTCTAGAGATCTGCCTCGAGTCACTTCTGACCATTGACCAATTAATGTAGGTGTGAAGTCCTTTAGCAATGGTCCTAGACCCTTCAAATTTGAAAATATGTGGTTAACACATTGAGGGGGATTTAGAATTCAGTGGTAGAGGGGATAGGAGGAAGGRCCTAAAATAAGGAGAATATGGCCTCTTATTGGGTTCTTTTGCTACTTTGTCTCGATGAAAATTATTAGCTGGAATGTAAGAGGGTTAGGGAGTGCAAGGAAGAGAAGGGTGATCAAAGACCTACTCCGAAGGG